GTTAGCCTTGGAACATTACAGATACATGTAGATAAATTTGTCACTTAATTGATACCACACCTAAAAATAAAAAAATTAAAATATTCAAGAACGTTTCTTGTTTGACATTTGATCGGCACTGTGCAAAGTTATCTAATTTTATCGTAAACAGCTTTATTCCCATCTCGATAATTTATCACGCTTTCAGTCTGTAAGGACAAACTAAGTCATCACTGATATCTAAAAGATTAAACAAGGGCAGATTACTAGGATCTGCAGTTTGGATTTAGAATTTTGATGACAGTGCGATGAAAACCATTTTTTAAGCTTGCCAATTCTCACTAGCCTCCCCCGCTCCTTCCCCTCCCCCCTCCCCCATTCCCCTGCCCCTTCCCCCAAAACATTTCTTACTAGAATCCTAAAATGATTAATATAATCTCAATAATTTTATTTCCTACGGCGCTTCTTCGATTTGACGAGCTTCCTCTAAGTTGTGCTTCTAGATACCTTGAGCGACCTTTGGTCAATATATTCTATCCTACAAGTTTCTAACGGCCGGAAAAACGAGGAGCCGACGTGCATGAGGTTCCAGCGTTCGACTTTCGCTTCGAAAATTGCTCGCATTTTAGCACAAAATAGGCTTCTACTACCATTCTACCTCGTCATCTTTATAGATAAAGAGCGTAACAACATTTTTGTACAATGAAATTGCACATACCTTGTTTCTTTACGTAACCAGCACTCCATAAAAACCAAATACCATTTTGAAACTGCCTTCATTAAAGGGTGAAAGATAAGCGCGGTCATTTCGCTCCCACATAATTTGCTCTGCAAGCTCTCTACCAACTATGGCAGGCAAACATTATTCCTCCACCCAAATGCGCATGTGTGCGCGAACACTTGTCGGCATTAAAAGGGTCTGTGTCGAGAACAGATGGCACTAGTAGAAAGAAAACGACGAATAAAAAAACGACCGAATTATATACCTCGCGCGCTCGAGGAGAAATATTTTTACACCCACCGAGCCGGGCGGATGGTAGGTGTAGCAGATCATGTGGTAACGTGCCCTTTTCCGCTGTGAATTGTTTTCTGTCGCTGTTGCTCTTTTTAAAACGATTCCCATGCTGGAACCCCATGTCCCCCTGGGGGTTTAACTCAAATGTTCCGACGAACATCCCTGACTTTTTCACACGGGAGTTTCACCCCCACCCCACTCCCTCCCTTTCCGGCCTTACGTGTCTCACGTCGTCTTTTTTTTTTTGCTACCTTGCTTGAAGAAAATACACGATAGGATTAAAAATATAACACAAACAGCGGTGATAAGCATTTAAAAACATGCATTTTATGAACTTAACGTTTCGTATGCTAGGAACAGTCTAGCAACGTTTCGTATCCTAGCAACAGTCCCCCCAAAAGATGTTATTATTTTATTTAACAAATAAAGAAGCCTAAGCCGTGTATTACACTGTGATAAAACACGACGGGCATTTGAGAACACGAGGGAAATGTAGAAAACACGAGCCGCAGGCAAGTGTTTTCTACATTTCTCGAGTGTTCTCAAATGTCTCGAGTGTTTTATCACAGTGAAGCACACGGCTTAGGCTTCTTCGTTTGCTTTATGATATAGAGGTAATATGGCGATAAACAATAAAACACGGTTTTTCTATGTTTTATGCTCTGATGAAACATGGGTTTTTGACCAATCAGAGCACGCGCAGGGTCGACCTATCTATATTATAATACCTTATATAGGTCTCCATAGCAGTCATATTACTAAGCGTCTAAAACCTCGTGTAAATCGTTTCTACTCTTTTGTCAATGTCAAAGTTATTTTTCAAAACACCCGGCGCATCAAATCCTTCTTCCCATACAAGGACCGTCTCAACTAATTACAATTATCCAAAGTCATTTATAAGGCAAGTTGCTGGGACTGCAATGATTTTTACATTGGGAAAACGAAGCGAAGACTTCACGACCAGAAAACGGAACATTTCAAGCCCTTTTCGAAACGTGATCATTCTTCTGCTATTGCTGATCACGTTAAAACAACTGGTCACAACATCAAATGGGACCATTTTCATATTTTGGCGTCCGGCAAGACTGACTATCATTGTAAGGTTAAGGAGACCTTGTTTATTCAGGAGTTGCAGCCAGCATTGAATGTCAATGTCAGCAGTGAAAAGCTTTTACTGTATTCAGGGTAAAGCTTTTCCATTTTGTCACTTTACAGACAGTTTCCGTTTGAAACGTCTTAAATTTCTACTGCAGATGTTTTCTGTCTAGGTTCCAGACCCCTACTGATACAGTATAAATAGCTTTTCAAAAATTTTAACGGTTATACTTTTGAAAATGTATGTTGACTAGCATACGAAACGTCAAGTTCATAAAATGCATGTTTTTAAAATGTTTATCACCGCTGTTTGTGTTATATTTTTAATCAAGCTACGATGGCCGAAGACCAAGAGTTTGTATTATACATGATAGGATACTGACAAAAAGTCCGACTCAAATTAACCATCAAAACAACTCATTACCCACAAAGTCTTATAAAATCCCAAGCAAAATGTTACATTTTCAAAATGCATTCATGTACGCTCGGTTTACCAGTGCTTTTTAGGAGCACATTGGAGCTGTGCGACCCTCACTCATCATCTCCAAATGATTGGGCTTGGCAAATATCATGCTTTGCCGTAGCTGGGAGTCGTTGGCATTTTACGCAAGAGGCCTAGGTATAAGCAAACTTCTAGTGCCTACGCTCCATCGGCAAAGAAAGGCGATGGTCTCTGCGGTGAGATTGAACAGAAATGAGTCACTGCAGATCAATTGTGGGCTTATGCCCAGGACCAGAAAGCATGTAACCCCTTCGCTTGGACTTAGCTACTGACCTGTATTGCCGGTTGTCATTTGCACAAAATGCGTAATTTGGTTTTCAGAGCCTGTGCGTGTTCGGTTAGTGGCGAACAAAGCCCAAACGCGCGACACTCTAGACAAAATCCTAAACCGGAACCAGAAACTCCCGTTTTTGTTTTAATTGTGCGCATACGTCGAAGTTCAAAAACAAACTTTCGGAAGATGCTGGCTCACCTTCCAATATCTCCCAGAGTGCTCGATTTCTTGGTGCTGACCAAAATGATCGCGGCCTCTGGGAATGAAATTGCGAAAGGCGTTGAAACTTTTGAATTGCTTTTCAAATTTAATATCTTCGAGTAAGATCGATCCTTGACAAGCTTTTAACTTTGATTGAAAACTGAAAACAAACATTGTTGCGACAGAGATCGAGAGTATGGCAGGTGTGGTGAAAAAATAAGACATTGGCAGGAAGCGAGGTGAATTGTACAAAAATAAAATATGACGAGTGCAGCTGACTGATAGAGATAAAATCAGATTTACTTAAAGATTGGGATAAACTTCTCAGCGCCATATTTTGATTTAGCAAAATCTGAGATAGGCATCGCGAATTAAGGATTTTTATTGGCAATGTATGAATCCTGTTTCTAATCTTACTTGTTAAGCGGTATCCTTTTATTTCTAAAACAATAACTCGTTCTAAGGCGCTTATTTATATTAACGCTAAATTCAACCCACTTCCGATAAATGTACGTTTTCTGATTGTTATTAATTGACACGAGGCCCAGAATGTGACGGTGAAACTCTTGAATGTAAATCTGGAGGCAATATAATTTTTAAATATATTATTTTTCTCATTTTGTGACTGACGCGTACGTCCTGCTAAAATCTCTTTGAAGAGGGATTGAAATTGAAATGTTTTTATCGGTGGTTGTGATTTTTGCTATTTTGGAATCATTTTCTTTGCTACATGGTGAGTTAATTTGCTTGGATTCGACACTGTAGTTCCATGTTATAAGTCTACTGTTCTTGTTTTTAATTGCATTGACAACTTAACTGCTATGTGCGTTATGCCATTTTTAATAAGACGCCGAATACATCCTCAAGGATATAGTTAGATTAAGATTTTTTTAGAATTCTGTCGTCCGCAGATCCACTGTCTCTAAAAGAGATTTAATAACATCCGTGCCTCTTGTTGAAATTCCTTTTATCGAGCAAGAGGGGATCAAATTCGTGGCTAAAGAATGGAGGAAAACGTTTCAATTATAAATGACAATTTATAGCCCGCATTTCATGTATCAAATTGAACTTCAAAACATATGCCTCCCTGCAGAATTGTTTCTTGTTGATAATTTACAATGCGATTCGCGCTTTGAACTGCAATACCAAAAATATTCATGGTCCATTTGGTCAGCAAGGAAAGACATTTGTCGAGGGAGCGTGTTTCCTTTTGAACAACCTAGCAAACCGCTCTGAATCGTTGTACCAATTAAAACCCTTGAAGAACCGTTCGCGACTCGCTTTATTCTAAAGAAGCGTACATGGGTGGGTGGTGAAGTCATTAGAACGTACTTCATGGCTAAAGATTTCTATTCCGGTAAACCCGCTACGCATGCAAAATAAGCAATAAACATGTTCGTCGTAACATGTTCATGGTTGACATAGTATTTTGAAATTTGTTGAATCAGGTTTCACTATGTAGTGTGAGTCGGTAGCGGTCAACGCTAGTTAATTAACATAGGGTTAATTACTGACAAAGGTTTCCAACGAATGCATCCATCCAATTGAATTGCTTAGTTTTGTTCATGTCAAACTCAAAAGGAAAACTTGCAACCAACGGTAGAAATGAACGTATTTCATCACACAGCTTCCAATGAGTAAACTTCGAGTCAGGGCTGAGATAAATCTATTTTATGAAGTTTTGCCAAATACCGTAAACAGCTGCTTACAAGCCCCTCCTGTTACATGCCTGTCTAACTGTCAACCAAATAATACATTCGATTGTAAACCCCCCCCCCCTTTACTTTGCTAGTTTTAAATTAGCCTTATTATGATGTTTTAAAGCTTAATTACCAGTAAATGAAAAACCTATTTCCATCAACACAGCTATAGCTCGTTTCGAAACGGTTTCGGATATAAGCCCCTCCGTTTGTATGCCGATCTTAAACCCCTCACGAAGTTGTATAAGCTCAGTTCTTATAAGCGCCAGTTTACGGTACTCGCTATGAAACAAAATGTTAGCAAATAAATCACCTTTATGGACCGAAATGACAAAACTATAGCTTCATCACAAACAAATATGTCTTCCGGGCGTTATAATTAAAGGTGAAAAACAAGCAAGATTAACTTAACTTTGAAAACAGTTCAGCCTAACAGTTTTACAAAAACTCGTATCGCAAACCGTTTCAATCTTCATCAAAGGAGGCGTTTTTAACCAATTCAGTGGACTGTTATTTTTTCCCAGGCGTTCCCGTTTTCGAGCCTGTTGGATGTTTCCAAGACAGCGGTATTTCACCTCGCCCCATGCCTCTGCTTCTCAAGGATTTCCGACCAGGAATGAACTGGAATAACATCGATGCTGTTATTAAGCAGTGCGCCGGCTTGACGCACAGCAAAAGCCTTATGTGAGTTTGTTTTCAACCTCTCTTCTGCATCTGTTGATCAACTTCAGTTCATGTCTAAAACGTCCATCTCGACCTCGTTCCCAGGGTCTCCCATCTTTTCCGCACTACCCATACCGGAGCTCTGGTGAGAGAACCTGAGAACGAGGTTGCGTCTATCTTTCTAATTCTAAATCTAGCTATTTTTTCTGCGAACCAGATCAAAAGTAGATTCCATTCTTGATTGGTTGTTCGATGGATTAATTGATTGATTGATTGATTGATTGATTAAATGAACGAACGAATGAATAATTGATTAATTGCATAATCGATCGCTTTTTTAAATGGTTGATTCTGATTGATTGATTTATTTATTGAATGATTGATTGATCGATTGATCGATTGATCGATCGATTTATTGAATAATTCTTTAACCGGTTTCTACTTTCAATCTGCAACTTGATTAGTTTAGCGGGAAAATAAGCCACAAACATGTGGCAGAAGAGTAAGCCCTAAGTTAACATGTCTCAATGGATGTTATTGTATTTGAGCCCCCGGTCAAGTATTCTTTTGTTTTTAAGGAAAGAAATACATTGACCTTTTCGCCTGGTTTGTCTGTCAAAACTCTGTCGTCAGCAATTCCAGAATAAGCAGTATAACTCAAAACGTAACAGCTCCTGAATAACCAGGCGACCATAGCTTTGCTACCGTATTGACCGTTGATCTAGTCATCAATGTTGAAAATATTTCCCCAATCGCCCAAAAATTTACTACTTACTGCTGTGGTTTCCAAAAAACGGAAAATGTTTCCAAAAAACAATCTCATTTTACAAATGCAAAATTTTCGTCATGGTACACCAGACCCGGGTTGTTGGAAAGGTGTATAACGCTATCCACCGGATAAATCACTATCCAGCGGTTAGCGTGGTTTGTTTTGTTAACACTTATCCACTGGTCTGGATAGCGACTTATCCGGTGGATAGCCTTATCCAGCCTTCGAACAACTGGGGCCAGCTTGGTCTCCATGGCGTCCTATGAAAACTTTCTGTTAAATATTCATCACAGGAATTTCTAATTCTCTTTGGTCTTAGTTACTTTGGGCTCAAATATTATGGACAGTGCTGGTCCGGAGCAACCGCCGGAAAAACGTACAGTCGAGACGGGCCAGCGGAAAGCTGTGTGAAGGGAGTAGGAGTTGAATCTACTTTCTTCGTGTACAAATTTTACGACTATAGTTATCAAGGTAAGGCTCAACCTCGTTCCCAGAGTCCTCTCTCTAGCCTCGAGAAAGTATCCTGGTTGCGGCTGGTCACGTGTCTGCTAGATTTTAGCAGATTCCAGAGATGTGATTGAAGGGAGGGGCTGAAAAGTTAAAGTTTGTCTCAGCACTGAGCTTGCCTACTGAGCCAAGTAGGGAGTGGAATTTGTAACCCTCCCGTTGTGGATCGGCAAAAATCACAGCGAAGGCATTGACACATTCGATGTAGGAGTTCAGTGCGTTCAATGTTCGGCTAAAAGGTTAGCTCTGCATTTAGCTGAATTTTCGTCGTCGATAGTTGGACGGTCTTTGGAATTTGTGGCAGTGAAAAATTTTGGCAAAGAACTCGGAAATGACGACCACCACAATAAATGGACCGCGCGGTAAATTTTATTTTATTTTTCATTCGGCAAAATCACAACGAAGGTATTTACTCGTTCCGTTCGAGTTAAATACGTCGTATGTTCGCCGATAAAGATAGTTTTGAATTTGACTGAATTACTTTCATCGACAGTTTGACGGTCATTCCATTCTCTTGTGGCGAAAAAATTTACGAAGAACTTGAAATCAACAACGTTTGCGCGCTGAATATTAAAGCTTGATTTAGCTTAAGCTTATATTTTTCGATCGGCAAAGTCACAACGGCGGCATTGATGCATTCGTTTAGAGTTTGATACGTCCAGTGTTTGGCTAAGAGACTGACTCTGAATTTGATTGAATTCATCCAATCGAACGTTTGACGGTCATTCGATTCTCCTGCAGTGATAAATTTTATAAAGAACTGGACAACAACGACATCGGACGAGCGTTTGCAAAATCCAACGGCTTTCGTTTCAAAACTGTTTAGCGGTAAGTCCAATTTTCGATCGAGGGACTAGCTTCTCATTAAATTGAATGCATCCCAGAGAAACTTTGACGGTTATTTAATTCCTGTGCTGTGAAAAACTGATTGAACTAATCCGAAGTAAGCTGTTGACGGTTATTTTAAAAAGTAGTGAAAAATAAGCAAACTTCCTCTCAATCAACATCTCATCCTCATAGAAGTTCAGATAGAAACAAAGCACCGGTCAGGCAGGATCTCTGACAAATAACTTACTTAACTTTCAAAATAACGTCTGTAAGGCAGCGAAACTTTCACTCAATAGACAGTGTTGACAAACTTAAGTTGAGGACCCACCCTCAATCTGTGCGGCTTTAGTTGGAATGCATAGACACGTGACCAGCCGCAACCAGGGTACTTTCTCGAGGCTAGAGAGAGGACCCTAGGAACGAGGTTGGGTAAGGCTAGTGACTAGTGGGGTCCTTGAAGTGCCTTGGCGTAAATATTTGTAATTGACATTTAAGGTGGCTGGCAACAGTTTCCAGCACTTTCAGCAGTTATACTTTGACTCATCAATACTACCTCTGTTAAACATCAACCGATGCTACAATATTGGTATCACTCGAAAGCCCAATCATTGGTAAACAAGTTGTGGCATCATCAGGGCATAATAGGTTATCATAGGAACTGTTAAAAACACCCTTATTTTTAGCTTAGCTTTATTTCTGCCCTTACCTGTAAACGTTAGTGTTTTAATGAAACATTGAGCTTGGCTTGTTTTGTAGTTCCCGGATGTAACGCGGCATGGAAGGCTCAAAACGACTTCTGTTTCATCGTGATCTCAAAACACAGTTCAACCTGGAATGAAACGAAGAATTACTGCCAAGAAAGCGGAGGGCAGCTGATGCATGCCACTGATAAAAGCACTTCTCGGTTGCTTGAGCAGTTTCTGTACACCATCCAATTGAACTCAGAAAGTTCTTCAACTCAATGCATAGTAACTGGACCTGCAAACACAAGCTCCTTCTCGACACTGCCTCTTGACAAACAATCTGTATCTAACAGTACAACGCATATCTGCGCCATTAGATCGTCAAACCAGTGGAAATTACAGGGATGCAGCGTTAACAGCTGTGATGAATTGTGCATTGCACCAAGAGGTGAGAAGGGTTCCTACATCATGGTAATTTTCTTAAGTACCACCTGCATCAGTATGCTCATACTAACAACTGAACACAGTGGTAAGGTATGTAGATAAAGTCTGCATACGAGCCAAGTGGCCCCTCAGGCCAGCACTTATCTCCGGTTTCTGTAGGAGTGTTTTTACTCCCCCCCTGGATGGGATGCTAGTCCATCGCAGGGTTACCCCCAGCCTTACATTTGCCAGTACCCATTTATACTCCTGGGTGGAGAGAGGCACTGTGCGTGAGAGTTAAATGTCTTGCCCAAGAGCAAAACACAATGTCTCCGACCAGGGCTTGAATCCGGACCGCTTGATCCGGAGTTTAGCCTACCAACCATGAGGCCACCGCGCCTCCACAAAACGCAGTGATGGATCCAGGAAATTCAAAGAGGATGCATAAAGGCTGACGCGACAACTTAAGGGGACATGCTCTCGGCCCTGAAATAGTTAAAAAAACTAGTTGGCCCTCCCTCTAAATTTTGTCATGGAATGTATTAACAGTCAAATACCTTGACAAGACAGATTTATGAGAAGATGAAATTCAACATTCATTTGTCATTTAACCTGCGTACCTTTTTAGTTACATCGTGTCAATTATAACATTCTGTTTAAACCACACACTATTGCTTTGTTTCAATAGTTCAGCACAAATTTCATTTCTTACATACAGACACAAGTCCTGTGGCTGGAACTTTCGTACAACACGCTACGGACTCCGCCGTAACAGGTCACGTGATCACAAGTATGTTGGTCGATGATGCCACGGCGTGTGCGCGTGAATGCCTGCTGTATCGTAACTGCGCGTCGTTCAACTACGAGTACGTACCGACAGCCGGCCGAGAATTGTCGAGTTCAGGAATGATCTGTGAGTTGAATGACGAAACAAGGAACAGTCACGATGTACAACTTCGCAAACGGCGCGGTTATAACTATTATGAAAGATTACAGATGTAATGTTAGTTTTCCCCAGTTTCTTGATATATAGAGAGAATTATTGTGTACTCGTTTTTAGTTTTGCATTTTCTCTCTTTCTTTTAACGCGTCAGCGTTGAGCTTTAGGATTAAGTGGACAGCAGCCTTGTTTACTAGAAACTTTATTTGTATGGTACCTCACTCTCTCTCGTCTCCTTCTTTCTTTCTATCCCCGCTGATTGTTAGGGAATCCCTGGGATAACTTGTGACCGTATACAGATCGTCCGATATGTGAAGGGGTTGCCTTTTTGACCAATAACATGATGACATTCCCGCCAAAAATACATTTCCGCCAGTCACAATCACAATAGCCCTTTTTTACGTTTTAACTTTCTAAGATTATTGTATAAGCCAAGACGTCGGCAAGGTAATTTCGTGAAATTTGAGTTGCAGTTCCCACCTAAACTTGCCTGGCATCCACGTTGGATCACATTGTAATTCAAATGAGAGCAGGTAATCGTTAAAAAGACTATTTAATAATCGAATGCTATTCTTCCCCGTTTGCGCTATCGGCTACATTTCGTGCGCTTGCCAGAACTTGCATGTTTTCTCCCACGTACATCTGATTGCATCTTTCGGTTCAAATCCGATTGAGTTCAACGTATTTCAAGGTGTTTTGTAGTATTTTCTGGCTCTATAATGACATTTTAATATGGTAAAAAGGTTGAGCAACTTTCTAGCCCTATAATTATGTAATAACAATACTTTGCGATGATAAAATTTCAAAACACCTTGGTCATCTGGTCATCTCTTTCTCTTAAAATTCTGCTTTACCTCATCTTCAAAAAAACACATCATCGAAAGAGTTCATTATTTTTATCTATTATCTTTATTTATTTATTTTTTTTCAATATTCAACTCCTCCCAAAGCTCAAATAAGAAATGATCTGTCATAGTTCTGCTTTATCTGTTGTTCACCTAAAAAAAGACGCCAGATAAAATTTGACAAGGTAAAGCTTATAAATTATTTGCTCCCTGGTGTTATGCCCTTCACGCCCCCACTATTTCCGAAGAATGTTTGGCTTACACCAGTGCAATTCTCTGTACCTTGACCTCTAGAAGAGCTAGCCCAATTCTGCTCATGCATTCTTGGCAGTCACTTCAATATAATTACAGCTAGTGAGGTCTTTCGACATAGTGCGGTATGTTTATATTGATTGTTTTGGTTTAAGTTTGTAACACTAATGGTATTCCGGCATTAAATTAGTGAAATCGAAATCCGGTGAAAAACCATAAAAACATAACAGGCAAATCTTGATTAGCAATTTAATTTTGCTTCTTAAGATGTAGTTAAAATATCGAAATTCTAAAAAGTTCTTCTTCATTAAAGTACTCCTAATTATTTCCCACGTAAATTGAGATGTTTCTTCCGTTACATGTAAGTTGCGCGCTTAAAAGATTCATTTCCAAGAAGAGCACAGATAAAGTTTCGGCCGTCTTTCTAGAATTCACTCACTTTTGTAAGAGTAGAAAGAGTTTCAACTTTGTAGCAGTATTCAACTTTGTAACACTTCTTAGCTGACGGAAAGATGCGAAATGGAATTTAATTTTGAATATGCGAAATTCGACTGAGAGAAGTCTTTAACTACATTTCTAAACATCAAGAAAACAGAGTCAAATTTGAGGTGCTCGGAAATGTGATGAGCTATATTGTTACGAGAGTTAGCAATATCTCCTCAATGAAAACTAAAACCAAGGAGAACACGAGGAAACATAATCGTAAAAATATATGCTAACAAGAGCTACTAATTAAACGCAGCAGCCACATTATGCCGGAGGAATTTGAAAACGCAGCTTTACTTCTACGGTTAGGCCTACCGTCCACACTAATCCATCACGAAAACGGAGCTTTCTAAAACGCTCTTTAAACTGGAGGAATTTGAAAAAGCCGGCTTTTCGTCTTCGCGTGGACACGGGAAAACATTTTGAAAACGGAGCTTTTCGAAAACGATGGCTTCGCGATGATCATGTGACNTTTGTAACCCTCCCGTTGTGGATCGGCAAAAATCACAGCGAAGGCATTGACACATTCGATGTAGGAGTTCAGTGCGTTCAATGTTCGGCTAAAAGGTTAGCTCTGCATTTAGCTGAATTTTCGTCGTCGATAGTTGGACGGTCTTTGGAATTTGTGGCAGTGAAAAATTTTGGCAAAGAACTCGGAAATGACGACCACCACAATAAATGGACCGCGCGGTAAATTTAATTTTATTTTTCATTCGGCAAAATCACAACGAAGGTATTTACTCGTTCCGTTCGAGTTAAATACGTCGTATGTTCGCCGATAAAGATAGTTTTGAATTTGACTGAATTACTTTCATCGACAGTTTGACGGTCATTCCATTCTCTTGTGGCGAAAAAATTTACGAAGAACTTGAAATCAACAACGTTTGCGCGCTGAATATTAAAGCTTGATTTAGCTTAAGCTTATATTTTTCGATCGGCAAAGTCACAACGGCGGCATTGATGCATTCGTTTAGAGTTTGATACGTCCAGTGTTTGGCTAAGAGACTGACTCTGAATTTGATTGAATTCATCCAATCGAACGTTTGACGGTCATTCGATTCTCCTGCAGTGATAAATTTTATAAAGAACTGGACAACAACGACATCGGACGAGCGTTTGCAAAATCCAACGGCTTTCGTTTCAAAACTGTTTAGCGGTAAGTCCAATTTTCGATCGAGGGACTAGCTTCTCATTAAATTGAATGCATCCCAGAGAAACTTTGACGGTTATTTAATTCCTGTGCTGTGAAAAACTGATTGAACTAATCCGAAGTAAGCTGTTGACGGTTATTTTAAAAAGTAGTGAAAAATAAGCAAACTTCCTCTCAATCAACATCTCATCCTCATAGAAGTTCAGATAGAAACAAAGCACCGGTCAGGCAGGATCTCTGACAAATAACTTACTTAACTTTCAAAATAACGTCTGTAAGGCAGCGAAACTTTCACTCAATAGACAGTGTTGACAAACTTAAGTTGAGGACCCACCCTCAATCTGTGCGGCTTTAGTTGGAATGCATAGACACGTGACCAGCCGCAACCAGGGTACTTTCTCGAGGCTAGAGAGAGGACCCTAGGAACGAGGTTGGGTAAGGCTAGTGACTAGTGGGGTCCTTGAAGTGCCTTGGCGTAAATATTTGTAATTGACATTTAAGGTGGCTGGCAACAGTTTCCAGCACTTTCAGCAGTTATACTTTGACTCATCAATACTACCTCTGTTAAACATCAACCGATGCTACAATATTGGTATCACTCGAAAGCCCAATCATTGGTAAACAAGTTGTGGCATCATCAGGGCATAATAGGTTATCATAGGAACTGTTAAAAACACCCTTATTTTTAGCTTAGCTTTATTTCTGCCCTTACCTGTAAACGTTAGTGTTTTAATGAAACATTGAGCTTGGCTTGTTTTGTAGTTCCCGGATGTAACGCGGCATGGAAGGCTCAAAACGACTTCTGTTTCATCGTGATCTCAAAACACAGTTCAACCTGGAATGAAACGAAGAATTACTGCCAAGAAAGCGGAGGGCAGCTGATGCATGCCACTGATAAAAGCACTTCTCGGTTGCTTGAGCAGTTTCTGTACACCATCCAATTGAACTCAGAAAGTTCTTCAACTCAATGCATAGTAACTGGACCTGCAAACACAAGCTCCTTCTCGACACTGCCTCTTGACAAACAATCTGTATCTAACAGTACAACGCATATCTGCGCCATTAGATCGTCAAACCAGTGGAAATTACAGGGATGCAGCGTTAACAGCTGTGATGAATTGTGCATTGCACCAAGAGGTGAGAAGGGTTCCTACATCATGGTAATTTTCTTAAGTACCACCTGCATCAGTATGCTCATACTAACAACTGAACACAGTGGTAAGGTATGTAGATAAAGTCTGCATACGAGCCAAGTGGCCCCTCAGGCCAGCACTTATCTCCGGTTTCTGTAGGAGTGTTTTTACTCCCCCCCTGGATGGGATGCTAGTCCATCGCAGGGTTACCCCCAGCCTTACATTTGCCAGTACCCATTTATACTCCTGGGTGGAGAGAGGCACTGTGCGTGAGAGTTAAATGTCTTGCCCAAGAGCAAAACACAATGTCTCCGACCAGGGCTTGAATCCGGACCGCTTGATCCGGAGTTTAGCCTACCAACCATGAGGCCACCGCGCCTCCACAAAACGCAGTGATGGATCCAGGAAATTCAAAGAGGATGCATAAAGGCTGACGCGACAACTTAAGGGGACATGCTCTCGGCCCTGAAATAGTTAAAAAAACTAGTTGGCCCTCCCTCTAAATTTTGTCATGGAATGTATTAACAGTCAAATACCTTGACAAGACAGATTTATGAGAAGATGAAATTCAACATTCATTTGTCATTTAACCTGCGTACCTTTTTAGTTACATCGTGTCAATTATAACATTCTGTTTAAACCACACACTATTGCTTTGTTTCAATAGTTCAGCACAAATTTCATTTCTTACATACAGACACAAGTCCTGTGGCTGGAACTTTCGTACAACACGCTACGGACTCCGCCGTAACAGGTCACGTGATCACAAGTATGTTGGTCGATGATGCCACGGCGTGTGCGCGTGAATGCCTGCTGTATCGTAACTGCGCGTCGTTCAACTACGAGTACGTACCGACAGCCGGCCGAGAATTGTCGAGTTCAGGAATGATCTGTGAGTTGAATGACGAAACAAGGAACAGTCACGATGTACAACTTCGCAAACGGCGCGGTTATAACTATTATGAAAGATTACAGATGTAATGTTAGTTTTCCCCAGTTTCTTGATATATAGAGAGAATTATTGTGTACTCGTTTTTAGTTTTGCATTTTCTCTCTTTCTTTTAACGCGTCAGCGTTGAGCTTTAGGATTAAGTGGACAGCAGCCTTGTTTACTAGAAACTTTATTTGTATGGTACCTCACTCTCTCTCGTCTCCTTCTTTCTTTCTATCCCCGCTGATTGTTAGGGAATCCCTGGGATAACTTGTGACCGTATACAGATCGTCCGATATGTGAAGGGGTTGCCTTTTTGACCAATAACATGATGACATTCCCGCCAAAAATACATTTCCGCCAGTCACAATCACAATAGCCCTTTTTTACGTTTTAACTTTCTAAGATTATTGTATAAGCCAAGACGTCGGCAAGGTAATTTCGTGAAATTTGAGTTGCAGTTCCCACCTAAACTTGCCTGGCATCCACGTTGGATCACATTGTAATTCAAATGAGAGCAGGTAATCGTTAAAAAGACTATTTAATAATCGAATGCTATTCTTCCCCGTTTGCGCTATCGGCTACATTTCGTGCGCTTGCCAGAACTTGCATGTTTTCTCCCACGTACATCTGATTGCATCTTTCGGTTCAAATCCGATTGAGTTCAACGTATTTCAAGGTGTTTTGTAGTATTTTCTGGCTCTATAATGACATTTTAATATGGTAAAAAGGTTGAGCAACTTTCTAGCCCTATAATTATGTAATAACAATACTTTGCGATGATAAAATTTCAAAACACCTTGGTCATCTGGTCATCTCTTTCTCTTAAAATTCTGCTTTACCTCATCTTCAAAAAAACACATCATCGAAAGAGTTCATTATTTTTATCTATTATCTTTATTTATTTATTTTTTTTCAATATTCAACTCCTCCCAAAGCTCAAATAAGAAATGATCTGTCATAGTTCTGCTTTATCTGTTGTTCACCTAAAAAAAGACGCCAGATAAAATTTGACAAGGTAAAGCTTATAAATTATTTGCTCCCTGGTGTTATGCCCTTCACGCCCCCACTATTTCCGAAGAATGTTTGGCTTACACCAGTGCAATTCTCTGTACCTTGACCTCTAGAAGAGCTAGCCCAATTCTGCTCATGCATTCTTGGCAGTCACTTCAATATAATTACAGCTAGTGAGGTCTTTCGACATAGTGCGGTATGTTTATATTGATTGTTTTGGTTTAAGTTTGTAACACTAATGGTATTCCGGCATTAAATTAGTGAAATCGAAATCCGGTGAAAAACCATAAAAACATAACAGGCAAATCTTGATTAGCAATTTAATTTTGCTTCTTAAGATGTAGTTAAAATATCGAAATTCTAAAAAGTTCTTCTTCATTAAAGTACTCCTAATTATTTCCCACGTAAATTGAGATGTTTCTTCCGTTACATGTAAGTTGCGCGCTTAAAAGATTCATTTCCAAGAAGAGCACAGATAAAGTTTCGGCCGTCTTTCTAGAATTCACTCACTTTTGTAAGAGTAGAAAGAGTTTCAACTTTGTAGCAGTATTCAACTTTGTAACACTTCTTAGCTGACGGAAAGATGCGAAATGGAATTTAATTTTGAATATGCGAAATTCGACTGAGAGAAGTCTTTAACTACATTTCTAAACATCAAGAAAACAGAGTCAAATTTGAGGTGCTCGGAAATGTGATGAGCTATATTGTTACGAGAGTTAGCAATATCTCCTCAATGAAAACTAAAACCAAGGAGAACACGAGGAAACATAATCGTAAAAATATATGCTAACAAGAGCTACTAATTAAACGCAGCAGCCACATTATGCCGGAGGAATTTGAAAACGCAGCTTTACTTCTACGGTTAGGCCTACCGTCCACACTAATCCATCACGAAAACGGAGCTTTCTAAAACGCTCTTTAAACTGGAGGAATTTGAAAAAGCCGGCTTTTCGTCTTCGCGTGGACACGGGAAAACATTTTGAAAACGGAGCTTTTCGAAAACGATGGCTTCGCGATGATCATGTGACTTCAATAACCGAGGTTTCCTCAAACACAAATTTAAATGACCTGTATAACCTGATTGTTGCGTTTTTAAATTCCTCTAGCGTAGTGTGGACGGCGAGCATTTGTTGCGTTTTCAGGGTGAAACCTCCGTTTTCAAATTCCTCCGGCGTAGTGTGGATTGGGGGTAACGCGGCTATGATTTCCTTCAGTTTGAAAGTTAACGTGATTCAGCAGCCCCCGTCACAAACAACACCAAAAACGATTTTTGCCTTCTGCAGCTGGCAGGCTGTTTTCCTTACAGTTTTAAAGAAGACCTTACTTGCAGAGGTAAAAATTTTGATTAATTATTAACTTATATTGAGAACGCTCCATATGGTTGAAATTGTTGAAAATATGCCTGACAATTTCTCCCAAAGCATAGAAAAAGTGAGCCCAAAAACTACATTAAACGATGTCTAGTTTCTGATTTACTCTTTCCTCTTCAACTACTCTACTGAACTTGTTTCGAATTGTATGATCAATTTGAATACGCATTGATGGAAACACTGTTTAAAAACAGCCTTAAAAATATATGCCGAATAACACTTGATCAATCACTATTTTAGAACGAATGAACGAAGGTAAAGGTTAAAAGTCTGAATAGCAGTTCGTCGTATAGCGTGGCTAGGCATGCAATGCATACAGAATACATGATATATAATGTCTCTTAAGAAAACGGCTGGACATAAATAAACTGACCAGAAAATAATAAAACAAATACAGATTTTCGGGTTGATTGCTTTTCGTTGTTTCCTCGCTTTTAACGGACATTAATACAATTTAAATGAAAACATAAAACATTGGTTTATATCTCAGATATATATATTTAAAAAAACCTTGTTCCTTTTTTTTACCTATTGGTTCCTTTTGTCACACAAATGCCAATAAATATTTTAGTTTCCTAAATTAATTTTTCTCCACTTTCAGTAAACATGCATTAATGGTTTGCCAAAAGAAACGTCAGTTTGTTGATACAATGACTGTAGTTTTCATATCATACAAATGTCTAAAACAAATATTGTTACTGAAAAACTACTCTTTCAGCGCCTCAAATTTAGTCAAACCTTTCTATCATTTCCTTTGCAGCTGTTATTCGGCAAGCCTGGCAACAAAAACAACTTCCTGGATATTGGATTTGTACTTGCACCTTTTGTGAAAGTGTTTAGAGTTTCAAAGAGCAAATTTAAGAGCTACTTGTGTGGACAAAAGCGTCAAGCTTGGTCAGCACTGTTCTCATTCTTTGTACTGTACAATTAGATTTAAAACTCTGCTATTGTGAGATAAATCAAATTGCTTGTATTTTAAGCACAAAAAGGAAAAGACAAAGAGAGGATTTCCCTGTTTGCTTACAACAGATTCGTAAATGACAAAGTCCAATGTCACAAATGGAAACCAATTAATTATAGATGTCACTGAAATTTTAATAAAATTTTCGGACTAGCGTTTTTTCAATCAAGTGTCAGTCTACAGACCGACTTCTTATTCTGAATTCATGCGCTAGTCGATCAGTTCTCAAGTTTGCATCGGAGTCGACCTTCCACCAAGACCACAAGGTAAGAAAAAGAGAAAAAATTGAAGCTATCGGTAAAACATATATCGCTAAACACAACTGTGACAATTCTATGTACTGATGACTCAGTAAATCGATAGGTAGAGAGAGGTCAAGCTTATCTTGACTTTGAATATACCCTGTATAATTATTGTAGACACCTAATTTTCAGATAAAACTGAAGTTCCGTAGCAAACGACACTCGAAAGGTAGTGTACCGGGGCACATTTTCTGCAGGGCAATATTTCCTCTTATGGTCAAATTTTAATCATCTTGTTTTAATGAAGAAATTTACTCTTTGCAGACATATTTTGTCTCGCACTATCAGAAAACAGCACGGTAGGGAAATATTTTGAAATTCAGTTTTTCAATTCTCGACCTTCGAGTGAAGACTTGTCCTCAAAGAAGCTATAACGTTTGTTTCGATCTATCTTTGACATTTGAGTCCATAATTTTCAAACTGCAATCGCAATTAGGGAGTTATGACTTATTCAAACATTAAATTAGCATCCATTTAACACGAAACAGTGACTCAGTTAAACTCTCGTTTTTATATAATTACTGCTGCTGCCCTCTACTTTAACACCTCCAAGGTTAAGCATCAGAGCGTAAGGGATCTCAGCTTTCTTGTCAACCACAGCTAGCCGCTTGATGTGCTCTCTTTCGCGTTGAACTTGAATTCACAGGTCGCATCCCAAGTGAGTATAATTCTCTTACTCTCACCTCCATTCAGTTAATTTTGTAGCATTGTGCTATTACTTCACGGCCTTTAGTATCAGTGCTGCTAAATTTACTATAAAGTGCATAGATTTTTATTACCGGTCAAATTTCACGAGGGATAGACTTTACTACATGTACCATACGATGTTGCCAGCGGCTTGGAAACATTGCAACCCCCATCCGATTTACCCCAGTTTTGCACTTGCCTATCTGCATTTTAATTTCAGTCATCCCAATAAGTTGTTCAGTTGTACATAGAAGTGAATGTTTTGAACGACAAAGAAATTATTTCGACGTTTGAGAGCTTGGCCAAAATATCAAACAGAGAGGATATTGTGTGGATATTTGAATTACAAGAAACATGTCATGTCTATCACCGATCGCAACACTAGAAGCAGTATTAGATTACATTTGGCTTCAAAATTATGCTCGGGTATGTTTTTCGTGCGGATTTTCTGTAGTCTTATTTTCAAGCGCTAGGTTTCTTCTGATGTCTTCACAGAACAGATCTTGTTCGTGTACAAATATTTAAGCACGTTTTTATGCCAGATGTAAATCACTGCTTTTATACTTTTCACAGTTAATATCAATTAAGTTACTTATAATATTCTGAGCGTCAGTCAAATCCAGCGACTCTGAGAATAAACATTCAGGCTATGCAAAAAGTGAAAACGCCAGTGCAAGGAAAACGTTACTCTGGTGCGAAAAAAAAGCAACAAATTTTGTCCACCTTTGTCAAGAACCTCTGTCAGTTGGAAAGAAACTTAATCAATAAAGTGTTCTTGTAATGTAAATATTCTATGATTAGTTCAGTGGAAGTACGTGCATATAAATCTCCGTTCTAGAAGTTCATTCTAAACTTTAATTACTATGAAGTTCTTATCCATTATCTATTCAAAAATGGCAGCTTGTGGCTTGCATTTGGTTGTTATAAATTTGGCTTGCATAAAAACGAGGTTCAAAAACCACAGCAAGCACTTTATGCCAAAAACAGATATAAAAATTCACTATTTCACCGACGTTTAACTTCATGGGATCGAAACAAAAATCGGTTTCACTTTTGTAGTGACATGATTTTCCACAATTGGTCAATTTATTCACCAGGCAGTAGGGCAGCTCTATTTATGAGATTCTGTTTGTAAACACCATCTTTGGCACTAGAAGTTAACACATCAGGTCACCTCTACTCGACATCTTCGTGAGAGGGGCTTAAACGACTCACTATCTCTGTAAATTATCTATCCATCTATCCTTCCTGCACTCATTCATTCATGGATGTACTTATTTATTCACTTACCTAGGTAGGCACTTACAAGCACAAACACGCAATCCACTCGCCATTTAATGCGCTTCAATATTTAGTTTCGTACCTGGCGATACGAACGCAAAGTAGTCGTGTTTTGCGTAATGAGTTTTACACATACGCCTCCGCAAATTTTCCCATGGAACGTCAAACCTGTCACATCTGTATCATCGTTTTAGTCTCAAGCTCGCGCCCTTGAGTTATTCGGAAATAAAATCATTTTCAATTTACGCTGCCTGACGGATTCTGATTTAACGTCATGTTTACAGCTGTGTCCTTTACGTTGTTAGTGGTCGTTAATAAGATTCAAACCCTGCACCAGACATGCCTCGATGGTATAATCGTCTTTATAAAATCTTTATATTGTTAACTTGTACTTTAACATCACTCGTAAATTACTTTTTAAACAACAAATTTGGTTCACTTTGTCGAGACCCTCTGTTAATTGCAAGGAAACTTAAACTATACAGTTGTCTTCTAATTTAAATATTCTACGATTACTTGGAAGTACGAGCACGTATTTTACAGTACGTTTTCCGTTCCATAAGGTCATCTCAAACTCTAATCATTATGAATTCCTTCAAACTTGTAGGCTACATCCAAAAATTGTAGCTTGTGGCTTGTTTCTGGTTGTTATAAATCTGGCTTGTTTAAAAACGAGATACAACAACATCAGGAAGCACATAGTGCATATAAACTGATAAAAATATTCACTCGGTCACCAACGTTTAACTGATAAATTGAGCGATGCTAAATGGAAACAAAAATCGGTTTTGTATTAACATAATCTTCTATAATTAGTCAATTTATTCACCAGGCAGTAGGGCAACTCTATTTATGAGATTTTGTTTGTAAACACCAACTATCTGACACTAGAAGCTAACACATGAGGTCACCTCAAACTCGACCTATTCGTGAGAGGGGACTCAAACGACTCACTCACTATCTCTCTAAATTATCTATCCATCTATCGTTCCGACACTCATTCATTTATGGATGTTCTTACTTTTTCACTTATCTTCGTACGTTCTTATAATTACAAACACAATCCACTCCTCCTTTAATGCGTACTTTTAATAATCTTACGTAGTGATGCGCACGCAAAGTAGTCGTGTTTTGAGTAATTTTTTTCCATATACTCCTCAGCAAATTTCCCCATGGGATTTCAAGCACATCATCAGTGTCATCATTTTCTGGTCAGTCTCAAGCTCGCAGCCTGTGAGTTGTTCAGAAATAAAATTATTTTCATTCTACGTCGCATATTGCACTCTGATTTAACATCATGTTTACAGCTGTGTTATTTACGCTGTTGGTACTTATAGTTAATAAAATTCAAACCCTGCACCAAACATAATCGACCATTTTTAAAATCTTTGTATTGTTGATTTTTATTTTCACATCTCCCGTAAATTACTTTTTAAAGATTATTCTTTTGTGTGGTTACCTTGAGTTTTTCCGCCCACTGTCTTAATGCATATTATAATATTTTCATAAATGCAATATTCCAGACTTCCAAGCTATTAGTTCATACATTACAATCAGTAAAAGGCGCCAAAAAGTTCCATATTTTACTTAAACCTACAAAACTCACACTCACTCAGTTGGGCGAAAAACAAATACGAGATTAACTGGATAATAAAACAAAATATCCAAAGAAAATGTATTTCCCAACGAAAATGACCAATTGCCATTCATTTTCAAACAAGGGAAAAGATGTGACTGAAACTTGCTTCCAGCTGGTTAACATTTTTAGCAGTTCTAACACAATCTTCGACACGCTGATGTGTGAGCAGGACTGGCTCAGTTGCGGAGAGCGCTAATTTGTTGTCCGTTCTCGTCCTTGCTTCCGGGATTTTTCCGCGGTTTCTCCAGTTTTCCTCCCTCTACAAAGCCCAACACTTTCCAAATTCCAGTTCCGTCTGGAAACAGTGGACGAATATATAACGAGTCCGTGCATAAGTTAAAGTTAATAATGAATCATACTTCATTACGCGAATTAATCATGCGGCTAATGTCAAGCGGCCAATTAGAGTTGGAGCATGAAATCACACGTATAAAACGTATTGATATAACGTGTGCTTTTACAGTAGTTTTGACTATTTTGTAACAGGGTCGACAATTTAATACGGTGATTGTAATTCGCCAAGAAAAAGAGAACAAGAACACACTACGGACACTGAGGTAAAGATATGTAACAAAAGTACTTCAGTTTGTTTTATGTTTGTGGAATAGACCTTATCACGGTTTTGGAAGCCTTGGCGGGTTGGCAACAAGCGCCAGAAAATTGGAGTGTTTATTTAGGAGTCCAAGAAGAAATAATTTTCTTTAAAGTCAAATTCCGAACAATTTATGAATAGCAAAGTTATGATATTAAACAAAAGATTACATTGACCATATTTGAGGGATATAGTTGCGCTATAAAGCGTCCAGTCGCGTTTTTAATTTTCCATACATTTGTCTGTGATTTTTTTCCGCGAAGGTGGGGCGACTTGTAAGCCGCATACATGAACGTTCGCGGAAAAATATTATAGAAAAATGTATGGGAAATTAAAAACGCGACTGAACGCTTTATATCTCGGTTACATCCCCCAAATTTGGTAAATGCAATCTCTGGGCTTTGCTTTTCATAAATTTCTCAGAATTGAAATTTTTAGAGAATTATTTGCCATCGGATTCTCATTGTAATTTTTGACGCTGTTGTCTACCCTTCAAGATGGCTGCCAAAACTGTGATAAGGTCTATGATCGTTTGTTAGCGGTAGAACTGAGCGGCTCCGTTTTCGAGAGTCAAAGATATCAAGATATATTACAATAACAATGTGGTTTTCTCAGTTCTTCATCTCTTGCACGGAAAACGTTGTAGCGCTAGGCAACTTAGTTTTTATCTCTTCTAAGGGCTTTGTTTGTCTGACAGTTCTGTCAGGTGTATGTAACTAGGGACATCATCCTTTTTTTCGTTCACCTTCCACCGAACAAACACATTACTATACTTGTTGTAATGTTTTGAAATGTCCAAAGTCGACAACGGTTCAAAATTTGGTATTTGGCAAGAATAATTGAAAAACGGAGCGAAAATCCGTCCCTTGAAGTATAATTTTACCTTTCAGTGAAGTTCGTGGTACGTGGTGTAAAATGCGCGATTCATTTGTTAGAAATTGTAATTAACTAGAGTGTAATTGATCCTGTTCGCAAACCTCGACTTTTGAATTTTTATCAGCCTTTTTCAAGCTTTGTTCGAGTATTCAGTTTTTATAGAGCGTTTGAATCAACTCGATATGCTTCAAATTTCATTTGACAGGTGCATCTGGACTTTTCTCGTAAGAAACACGCCGTTTGAAGTTCGTGGGGTTACATTAATTCACTTTCTAAGAGGACTTGAAAAAGATAAGAATCTTTTCTCAGTAAAATGTACAACACTCATTTACATTTCTAAGAGTCGTTATACAGCATGCTTAACCCTCGCTTCCAATCAGGACAAAATAGGGGACAAAAATTGATTTTTAGGGCGTTTTTTAAACTCGTAATCAACTCGTTTTTATCAAAGAACGGCTGGTTTAAAGATGGAGATGCAGTCATCGTATTTTGAGACTAATTGACATGACTTTTATGCAAAACAACGGCGGTGTAAAAATATCTATTAATCTCCTGACTGTCATTTGCACTAGTTTCACAGACGTGTTTTTCTTGTAAATAAAAAGAATTTAATTAAATCCTAGTCTGTGATATCCGAAATTGGTTTCTTATGCAAATAACGAAAAAATACTAAGACCGCCAAATGAAGTCACAGACACCTTCAGGACCGAAATGCGGTCTTTTTCAGTTAGTCATACTTAGAAATACACTATGCTAATGGCAATGGAGCATGTCTAAAATGAATCAGTAGGCTTGGCATTTGTAAGAAATTCCGCTCTGTAACATTGCAGTTTAGTTACAAGTTTGTTTTACTGAACTTTTTTCAATTTCTAATAAAAATTCTGAAGATGAATATATTTACTCTTTTTGCAACTGTTCAAGCATATCGCAGATGTAAAGTAAATTTTTGAAGCCAACTTAATAAAGAAGTCATTTATTTCCGCTTAAGCAACTGTCATTAGATGAATGTACGAATACGTGGAGTTTTGCAATCATCCAGAAATAAGTTTGGAAAAATCAATGCACTAGTTGATTGTTATGATAGATTTTCTCTGCGTTTTAAAATTGCTGTCAGCATGAACTAGGTTGACATTCTACGTACCCATCAGCTTATGTAACGTTTTATTTATATATTATTAGAAATATTTAACTAGGAATGAATACACGAAATCATAATGAAAAGTAATGGATGATCAAATAGTTCTGTTGGAATTGAAATCAGCACGTCTGAAATGGTGAACTGAAGAAGTTTGAGATTAGTTTCACAAATTTAAGCCCGTATTAAGATATATGGTACAACCTGGATTGGCGAATAACCTTGTGGTTTAAATTGAAGTTTACACCTCAAAAGGCGCAATTTTTTTGCGGTGTTAGAAGAGTTTAAATGCGTTAACCCCACTTGTATTAGTGCCTAATTCCATAAACCGATCGGGAGACCATTACCTATAATGAAAAAATTAATCCCCAGCCTTTTGAACGTTAAAGTAAATTTTAACACCAAGCGAGACAGAGAACGTTTAAGTTCAAAAATCAGTGACGCATTTGCATGTTATTTATAAATACAACGATATCAAATTGACTTTTTCTCTTCCTTCCTTCTCGAAATGATCTTAACTTGAATAATCATTGTGCCACTCACACTTACATCATTAGCACACTCGCGTTACGTATACTCGCACATGCACGCTATTGGTCAATCGCTGTTTGAATATGTACATTATAATTAAACGAGAATAATAACTCATTTCTGCCATCGCGCTCAATCGATAAACAGCGACATCATGCTCAAATAGGTACAATCTCCTAGCAGGGGCGGTCCAAAAATAATATTACACCACGCGAGGCAGCTCCCAGTCCAAACTCTTTTGTCAAGGGATGAAAAAAAAAACAACACAAATTTGCTATTGAAGCTTAGCATATCACTGCGTGGGTATATTCAGGAAATTAACTAAGAAGGTAGGTAGGCTCGATTCATATCTAGTTCAAGTATTCCGCAATACTGAAAGAAAAGCTCTTTCCGTTCGCCCACGTTAATCTTTATTTCGTGTATCTTAGCGCATATTTCTTTTTGGATATGAAATTGCGATCTATAATATTCAAGGCTGATTAATGAGTTTGTGTCAGGCTTTATTTCCATCTGTGTATAAGTACGCTGGCGACACATTGCGCATTTCTTTTTCTTTTTGTCGGCGGTGGAAAGTCATCCACTGTCGATTGTGCAGTTCAAAAACTAAGATCGTTTTATTTTTCTGTTGTGTCGTAGTTTGTTGTCGACCAGGACAGTATTAGATGTTGGAGGAACGAAGAGAGCCTTGGTAGTTATTTTAGAGCGGAAGGGAAAGCAGCTTTTCTCTTTGCAAGCCAAAGTGGTTCGCATCGCCTATCAATAATGAAAGTACAACTAACCATATGGACCATTGTGAGCCAGCTTTGGAACATAATTCTGCTCTCAACAGGTAAGTTTTCTTTTGAACAAAATTGTTATGTTGCACTTGCTGTGCGATAATGTTTTCATACACCAATGTTAGGCAGCATTTTCGGCAAGATTGCCACGTTACATGAGAATATTCAAAAACACTTTTAAAAGCATCTTTAAACTCCTTGACGCGTATTCGAATTGGCTCTTTAAACTGCATTAATTTTGCAATGTGTCTTTGGTACTTTCCTAGGCACTTTATATAAACCCTGATCGATTGTTTTTGGCGCAACATGCTATTTAGTTACACACTTAACCGTTATTGCAGTAGGTAGTCTCCAATTGTGCGTTCAAGATGTAAAGAAATAATACGCCTTGTTTCTTTTTCGATCGAAATCAATATGTTTCAATTATTTCCAGAACATTGGCCTAGCGTCAAAGGACGAGGACTGTGCGCAATTATATATAACACTTGACATTTTGTGTCCATTCTTTATTATAAAGTACCACTAAACCGCAATCTTTCACAGCAATTAAGCAAGGACGCTCCCGTTGATGAATGGTACAATTTGGAATGGTTTTGGCGCGATTAAAGTATATAAGAAAGCTGCGAAAAGTGGGGAGAATTGTTTCTTTAGCAAACTTCCACACCCACTACGTGTCTTTTTATCTAACTATCGCGATCTCTGTTTGCCACTGAAAATTGCTGTAGGTGCATTCAATTAAAGAGACAAAAAAATATATTACAAGAAAATCCTCGGTTCGATTCTGTTCTCAAAACATCAAAGGCCACCCGTTACTGTATTTAAATATATTTCCATCAGTATCAACACCTATACTGAAAGGCTAAATTCAACGAACCTTGAAAAGTTCGCGGATTTTCGACGAAAGCTGCCAAAATGTAGAAACTTCCGTTGCTTCAACCTGTTAAAATAAGTCCAACTAAACCATTCGCTATCGAGCTTTCAGACAGACTTTTAAGCGAAACATACAGCTAGATACACAAAAAGTCCATTGTCATTTTAATAATTAGCTCATTAATTATGAATGACTTGTTGCTTCTCAGGTTCTTCTGAGCATAGTTCTCAACAGCGTCTTCTGTCCGCCATGTTCGCAAAGTATGACGGTGACGGTCGGCCAGACTCTGACAGATCACGTGCTGTCCTCGTGTCGTTTGGCGCGAAACTTGTCAGGATTATTAACCTGGTAAACAAGCAACGTTGCATTTCCAATTTACAAATACCTTCGATATTTGCATAACAACGTTGATCATGACAGAAGCGAGGTAATTTCGGTCTTAACCGAAAATATCTGGTGATTTTTAGTGACTAGAGAATTTTAAATTTTAAATTTTTTAAGGTAATCGTGCTCATAGAAGCACAGCCTGTCGGCAGCAGTGGAGTTGAATTTATATTCTTTTGAAACCCCTCGCACACGTCACTTGTAACACGACCAATATATATTAAATCAATTCAACAGCAGCTCATAAATGCTCACAAAAGAGAACTGTTTGGTTCATAAAACGTAGTTTGGGAAATTGTATGTACCAGGGAGCTACCTGGCATACTTCTGAGCCCCCTTAAAGACCACAGTAACAAGAGCTATTAAATTAAAGTCAGTGATGAGGGTTTTGGTAATACGTTTGAAAGTAAAGTTATCGATATTTTTGTTTTCAGAACGAGAGGGGAAACACAATTCGTTCTCAATGGTGGATTTACCAGGTAAAACATCTGTCTACATTTTAAGCACTGAGTTCGTAATGTGTGCGAGGCATGCAGAAAAAAAATTCCATTACATGCGAGGCAAGTGGGAAAAAGATAAAGAGGTTTTTCGGCGGGGTGATTGGTATATAGAAAAGGTATTTCTGCTCTCTTTCTTTGTTCCTAAAGATTTTGTACTTTCAGGCATCCATCATATCAGGTTCATCAATGGATTTTAATTCACGGCGATCGCATGGGTCTAACTTTTATTTACCATTAAAATCAACTTCCATTTTGTTTCTCAGCAATGGATGAATTCCGACTTGTCTTGGAACGAGGCAGACTACAATGGCACCAACGTTATTCACGTGAGTCCGAAGAAGATCTGGGCTCCAGATATCATTTTGTACAACAGGTGAGGCTGAATGTTACAATAATAACGGATATCGTGATGCCAACATTTTTTTTTCACTTTTTGCTAGTGTGTTTTTTTTTCCTGACTTCGTCCAGAATCAAAGTCGTCTTGAATTACTACGAACTTTTGGCCTTAAAATTGCGGTGTTGTCACGGGCAACTTACCTCGTTTCTATTGGTAACAATATCAACAGACGTGCGTCGCCTGTCGCGTCGCCTACAATTTCGCGCGCTTTGCTGCCAATGACGCCAAAGGCCGACAAGTTGCCGCTGGAAACGGAGCCAGTTGTCCGTGACAACAACACGATTTTCACTTTGAAACCTGGTGATCAAACTTTCGCCTTGCCTTACTCAACTGATAATCGTAGTAAGGTTATTTCACGCAGCAACATTTATCAGTTGTTAACCTTGAGTTAAAAACGGCTGTAATCATAACTGTAGCTAAATTCACAATTCTGATTGGTGCTCTGCGCGGGTATTTGTGACGTAAAGGATTGGCACGCGATTTTGTTGGTTTCCAATCACAGCTCTTCATTTTATACACCAATAAAAAATGCACATGCTGTTAAGTTTGTACATGAAACTGATGGAGATATATTAGTTTCAAAGACTTCCTAACCTGGAAATTTTCTGTATGATTGCTGACTAAATTGTAATTACGCCTCATGTTGTAGAGTGTGTTATACTTAACAGTGCTCGGTAAATATAATAACACATTTTGTTGGAAAGGGTGTTTGCATGGAGGTTTGTCGGTCACAAGTACGTGCACATTGTAACATATGATTCCACAATATACTTCAGTTAATGTTGATCTAATTTATATTAACAGCTAACCTAAGTTTACACCTGACAGCGATGAGACACAGCTTATTAACTTATCATAAAGGCTTTTGCTCTCGTGCCATCGTAGTTTAACGAGGAATAAAACACAAATAGCGGTGATAAACATATTAAACTCACGCATTTTAATAACTTGACGTTTCGTATGCTACGCAACATACATT